CACTTACCAGCCCCTACATCACAGATTTTTTTTTTTTTGTTGGTTGTGGGGCTTGAACTCTGGGCCTGGGCCCTGTCCCTCAGCTCTTCAGCTCAAGGCTAGCACTCTACTGTCTGAGCCACAGTGCCACTTTTTTTTTCTAGTGGTTTATTGGAGATAAGAGTCTCATGGACTGCCTAGGCTGCTTTGAACCTCGATCCTCAGATCTCAGCCTCCTGAAAAACTAACATTACAGGCATGAGCCACTGGCGCCTGGCTACATCACAGATTTTTAAGGCTACATTATCCCTCATCTTCTGAAATCTGTTTCTTTCTGTGTTCTTTAGAAACCTGTTTTAAAATGAGAAACATTTTGGTAAGCCCAAGAGGACTGTCATATTTCTCAAAGCTCTGTCTCCCTCCATGGAGGAATTGTGTGGTTTGGGGCGAATTCCTAAAGTTTTGTAAAAGGACAGTGTTAACGGCTCCAGGTAGAATTCCACAGCTTAGAGATTCGGAGCATCTCGGTCTCAATTCCAACTCCTTAGTGTGCCAGCGCATTCCGTTCAGATTCCACTTTGTACCTTTTATGTTCTCAGGGTCAGAGAGCAAAGGTCAGTGGGTTTCATTAAGTGAATAAATGTCAGCAGTGTCAACATGAAGAAAAGTCCAAAGGGACATCTTTCAACAATGTGACTGTCCGGTTTCTGTTTTAGACCCACAGGTGAGTCTGGGTGGTATTTTTTTTTTTTTTTTGTCAGTTGTGGGGCTTGAACTCTGGGCCTGAGTGCTGTCCTTCAGCAATTCAGCTCAAGGCGAGCGCTCTACCTCTTGAGCCACAGCGTCACTTCCGGCTTTCTGGTGGTTCATTGGAGATAAGAGTCTCATGGACTTTATTGCCTGGGCTGGCTTTGAGCCATGATCCTCAGATCTCAGTCTCCTAAGGAGCTAGGCCTATAGGTGTGGGCCACTGGCGCCCCACTGGGTGGTGTTTTTATTCCACTCCTAAGTGATGATGACCATCGTTGGTGTTCAGTCCGTGAGCTCACATCTTCAACCCCGGAATTACCAGTTAGCTCATTTGTGATGCGGTCTACAACCTCAGGACGCAAGCACTGTTTTGCAGTTGAAAAAAGTTGAACATTTACAATGTTGTACTTTACCCCGCTTACACATGCTTGCTAGCAGATGGCTGAGGGCAGTTCACTGGCACGTGGGGCGTGGCGTGGGGCGTGGCATGGGCTGTGGGGGGGGGGGAGGTTGGGGAGATTAGGTATTTTCATGTTTCCGCCAAGGACAGCTAAGCAGTGTGTTGGACACTTAACTAGTGATTTTCTGTGTTGGGAGAGGATCTCCGCCCCGCACTGATGCCTTGTGTGCGTGCTAGGGCTGGGGTGCGGGCTCTGTGGTGCGTTGCACACCCATGTCACTGGGACACACTGCTGAGATGAGCTACTTCAGGAGGAAGGAGGTGTCTGGGGTGGCTTTAGAGGTCCTACCAGGCACTGCCAGGCAGGTTGGGGGCAGAAGGTGTGGGGGACACGTGTCCCCTGGTGGGGACCAGGAAGGCTGCACAGGGCCCTGTTTCTCTCCAGCCTGGCCTCTCCGGGAATCGGCACATGGGCTGTGGGGGAGCTGGGCATCAGCATGGCCACACAGTCACACACACGCACTCACACACCCTAGTGATCAGTCCTGGTCTCCCGTTGCTGCTGGTAATGGGGGCTGCAGCACCCCCTGGCCCCGGCTCCCACCATCCTCCAGCCCCACAGTTATTTTTAGCCCCGGGGCCTTGGGAGCAGGTGTGGTCTGGGCTCCAAGGCCAAGCCTGGAATGTGTTCAAGCCTTGTGCCTGTCTGCTTAGGAGCTGAGGGCTTTGGGAAGTGGCTGCGGGGCTAGGTGAGATGGTGCTGGGTGAGTTAGCGGTGGGTGAGTTAGCTGGTCCTGGCTGAGCCAGTGCTGGGTTGGAGAAAAGCGCTAAGTGAATCAGTGCTAGGTGAACCAGTGCTGGGTGAGCCTGTGCTGGGTGAGCCTGTGCTAGGTGAGCCTGTGCTGGGTGAGCCAGTGTTGGGTAAGCCGTTGCTGGGTGAGCTGGTACTGGGTGAGCAGGTGCTAGCTGGGGACTTTCCTGTATTGTAATGAGGTAATCTCTACTTCCTTGTTAAACAGTTTTCCAAGCATTTATCTTGCTTAGCATGTCTTAATTTTATCCTGTTTCATTCTATAAAATCAAGACTTATAGCCTGGTGCTGGTAACTCACGCCTGTCATCCTAGCTATGCAGGAGGTTGAGATCTGAAAATCTCAGTTCCAAGCCTGCCTGGGCAGGAAAGGCCATGAGACTCTGATCTCCAGTGAACCACCAGAAAACCTGAAGTGGAGCTGTGGCTCAAGTGGTAGAGCACCAGCCTTGAACTGAAGAGCTGAGGGACAGCACCTAGGTCCAGAGTTTAAGCCCCATGACCGACAAAATAAATAAATAAATATAGACTTACTAGATATAGATGTTGGCAGGGTTGGAAAGCCAGTACTGAGCTAACATTAGTTGTGATCTTCCTTATAATGGTGTTCTCTCCAGTTCTTGGGCTATGCATGTCACTAATAGGAGGACTGCAGTTCCTCTCTGTGCAGAGTTAAAGGGTGAGGCTCCTGAATTTCCCAGAGTGCCCTGCATTGGCGGCAGGGCACCTGGGGAGGTGAGGGAGCCTTGGTGTATTGGACCATCACCACAGAAAGAGAGCAGGGCATGGGAGAGAGCATGCGCCCTGTCACTGATTTTGTTACACGTTAATTTCAGTCCTGGTGAATCCATCTAAGAGTTTTTAGTCTTCCAACTCCTTTCAGGAAGTTTGTGTGAGATTTTCCCAGTATGGGGGGGGGGGAGGTAATTGATAAAGTATTTTCTTTTTATCTAAGTCCTACTCGATTCCAGAAGACTTTGGAAATCACAGGGCTGTGGGTGTCCTTTGGAATGAAATGTTTGAAGTCGGAGTTGAAGGGGGCACAGGGAGGATGGGACCCCACTAAAACTCTTTCTGTAAACAAGCAGGACTAAGATCACTGAGGCCCGAGGCCCCCACAGCCCCAGTCAGCAGCCATTCAGGACTACAGGCAACCCGAGCCGGGGCAAAAAGTGGGACAGGACCCAGCGGCCTCGGCCCCGGCCCGCTCCCTGCCAGGCGAGATGGGCAGGGAGGGTCTGGGTCCCCGGGGAGGGGAGGCTGGACACGTGCTGTCCTGCCAGGCTGTCTGCCCCGAGAAGCAATGGGAGCAGGTCCTGCTCCACCTTGTATGTGTCTGTGTCTGCTCACCTCCACCTTGCTGTGTCACGTGGATCTCGTGGATCTTGTCGCCAGAGGCCAGTTGGGAGAGTGGGTGGAGGCGGAGGGAGGGAGTCGGAGGGAGGGGGCGGGCTCAGCCACGGAGGACTCTGCTCCGGCGTGTTCTCAGGTTTCCCGGCGTGTTCTGTGCTTCCCGGGCATCCTTGTGATCAAGGCCTGTCCTCTCCTGTCGGGGAACAGGACACTGGGTTGGAGACTGTCTGAGGAGGCCTGTGCAGGGGCTGCATGGCGCGCCCTGAGGGCAGGGAGTGGTTCCCTGGAAAGCATGGTTGATCAGAAACAGGTTCACAGATGTCTGTGCACTGTTAGGGTTGCAGATTGTTTTTGGATCATGGAGGGTTTTACTCGCAGTAGTCTTGAGGAACATCCTCTGGGGGAAGGCATGGTGCACAGGGCTACCACCAGCATCTCGAGGGGCTGCAGAAGGGGGGAGGGGAGGGTGGGTCAGGTCTGAGCTCTTCCTCCCGCTGTCTGCCACCAGGAAATGGCTGGGGACAGAAATGTGGCAGGGAAGGCACAGGGCCAGGGATGTTGGGGTCCTGTGCTAGGGGCTGAGATTTCAGGGGGGTAGGGACCAGTGACTTGAGAACACAGCATGGGGAAGAAGAGGCAAAAGTGGAGGTGGGGTGGGGTGACGGAGGGGGGGGAGGGGGAGAGGCCAGCGCCTAGCCCTCAGCATTCTTCTTCCTCTCTTTTATTCATTTATCTGTTTACCTATTTATTTTTGTGCCAGTACTGAGGCTTGAATTCAGGGCCTGGGCACCGTCCTGGAGCTTTTGTGCTCGTGGCTAGCCCTCTACCACTCGAGCCCCAGCTCCATTTCCAGCGTTTTGGTGGCTCATTAGAAATCAGAGTCTCACAGACTTTTCCTGCCCAGGGTAGCTTCAAACTGCGATCTTGAGATTTCAGCCTCCTGAGTAGCTAGGATTACAGGTACCAGCGCCCGGCTTCCTTTCATTTTTTGAAAAGTTTTTTTTGCCAGTCATGAGGCTTGAACTCGGGTCCTGGGTGCTATACCTGAACTCTTTCGCTCAAAGCTAGCGTTCTACTCCTTTTAGCCACGGTGCCACTTCTAATTTTTGATGGTTCATTGGAAATAAGAGTCTCATGGGGCATTTTCTGCCCAGGTTGGCTTCCGGCTGTGATCAGGTCAGAGCCATGGGTGCCTGGCCTGTGGTCCTTTTACTCTCATATTTGTATAATCCTTTATAGTTATTTTATTATTATTTATTTTGTTGGTGGTGGGGCTTGAACTCTGGGCCTGGGCGCTGTCCCTCAGCTCTTCAGCTCAAGGCGAGCGCTCTACCACATGAACCACAGCACCCACTTCTGGCTTTTTCTGCATATGTAGGGCTGCTGGAATCGAACCCAGGGTCTCATGCATGCGAGGCAGGCACTCTACCACTGAGCCACCTGCCCAGCCGTATAGTCATTTTATTTGCACACCAGCCATTTAGTGCTGGGGGCCAGGTGACTAGAACTCATGAATATGCTGCTTTCTGGGAGCTTTTCACCCTTGGAGGTAAACTTGAATGTCTCTTGCACATGTTCCCTTGCACCATACCCAGGAGGCTTTCTGGGGCTGGTTCAAATGAACAAGGCGTTCGGTGTGGGCTGAGAGGAGCGAGGACCGGTTCATGCTGTGGTCTGACCCACGCTTTGTCTCTGTCTATGCAGGCTGTTACCCAGTGGGCTTGGCCGGGGATGGTACAGCACCCGGGCTGCCCCCGAACCCCTGTGCCTGGGGCAGCGTGATCACGGCTGGTGCTGTGAGGGGGACCAGAGCCAACCAAGAGCCAGGACTTCCAAGGAGGACCCCCAAAATGGTATCGGCCCTGCATTGCCAGGCCTGGGCCCCCTGACCCCTTCCCCACCATGGGGCGGCTGGGCCTGTGAGCACACCGCCCTCTTGGGCCGCGGGCACCGAGGAGGAACCGAGGATCGGCAGTTGTCATGGCCCATGACGCGGCGGCTGCAGGTCCCATTGTCACCGAGAGGTTGGTGGCCCTGCTGGAGAGCGGGGCGGAGAAGGTGCTGCTGATCGACAGCCGGCCGTTCGTGGAGTATAACACCTCCCACATCCTGGACGCCATCAATGTCAACTGCTCCAAGCTCATGAAGCGCCGGCTGCAGCAGGACAAAGTGCTGATCACCGAGCTCATCCAACACTCGGCCAAGCACAAGGTGGGCATCCGCGCCCAGCCTGCCCTAGCCCCTCGAACTGATGGTTCTTAGGGGCGTTTTGTGTGATGTGTGCTAACGCTGGCATCTTCGGGGCATCAGGCTCAAGGTCACCCTGGGTGTGTGGTGTAGTCTGTTGGACAGGAAGGTCGTGGCTCCCCCCCCCCCCCCCGTGCCCCAGGAATGAAGATGAACTCATCCTTTGGTTTCAGTACGCAGGATGCCTGCATTGCTGTGCATTACGCCAAGGGCAGAAAGCATGTCCATTGAAGTCACTGGTGTGTCGCCTGTCCCATTGACTGCCCGAAGCGGGCATCAGGCGTTGGCACGTGGCAGAGTCCTACACGGCCTGTGGCAATGAGCCGATGCCCGCCAGCCCGTGCCCGCCTGTCCCCCTAAACAGCCTCCTGTATGCATTCCAGGTGGACATCGAGGGCACCCAGACGGTGGTAGTCTACGACCAGAGCTCCCAGGACATGGCATCCCTGTCGTCCGACTGCTTTCTCACTGTGCTGCTGGGGAAACTGGAGAGGAGCTTCCGTTCTGTTCACCTGCTCGCAGGTGAGGCCACGCCGCGTGGGGCCAGGGTGGCCAAGCCTCGGGGTGGCTCCCGGGGCCGGGCACAGGGGCACGAAGGGTTTACAGCCTCTGGGATTTCCCTACTGGGGTGTGGCCTAGCCTGTGGATGTGAGGAGCAGGGCTGACGGCTGCGGGGTGCTGTTAGCTGCGTGTGCAAACTCCTGGTACCATTCGGCGGCTCAGAGCCGCGAAGTCCAGGAGGGGTTCCCTGCCTCGTGTTGGTGGGGCCCGCACCAGCAGCAGGGTCCACCCACCCCAAACCCAGGGAGCTAGTGGACCGCAAGTGGCGGTCACCCCCTGGGCCTTCCTCACTGTGTAGTGTGTGTGAAAAGGATGCTTCTTTTCATTACGGCCTGGTCCGTCCATGGGTTTTTTGGTTTTCCAAGTGGAAAATAGTCTCAGCATTGGAAATGCTGAGCTGTGGGGAAGCTTCAGAAAGCACCGGGAGACGCATGTGGGAGACGTGCCCTGGGGAGCATGTTGGGGCTCTGCTCCACCCTCTTGCTCCCTCCCCCTGACCACATGGCCCCCAGCGTTTGCTGCCCGGCTCATAGGATAGGGTGGTGCAGCTGCCCCACGCATGCTCCTTCCACTGTGGCTCACGCCTGTGATCTCGACTGTTTGGAGGCAGGGGTTGGGAGGATGGAAGTTCAAGGCCATTCCAACTCCAGTTTTTTTTTTTTTTTCTTTTTGGTTCCACTTTTGCAGTAGTGATCTTTAAGTCAATATCAGGTCAGGCTACCGCCTGTCATCCTAGCTGTTTAGGAGGCTGAGATCTGAAAACCAAAGTCAGACCAGCCCGCACAAGAAAGCCCACGAGACTCTTATCTCCAATGAACCACCAAAAAGCCACAAGTGGTTCAAATTGTTAAAGCCCAGGCCCTGAGTTCAAACCCCAAGACTGGCATGCGCGTGCACACACACACACACACACACACACCTGCTTTAGAATTTGGGACTTAAAGAAATTTGAATGCCACAAAGCTGAAATACCACTGCTTCTGTGTTCACCTCTACAATTTTAAGCAAGGGGTCAAAGGAGAGAGAAGCAAGCCCGCACTCTGAACTGTTCAGTAGAGGTGTTACATGTATTTTATTTTCTCCCCACAGTGGAATCCCCAGTGGCATTTACAGGGCTGCTGGTTGGAACGGGGAGGGGCAAGGCCTTTCCTCTGGGCTGTGCTAGAATGTAGTGGTCTGTAAGTCATGCATGCCTCAGGTGTGCTGAATGTTTTTTTGTTTGTTTGTTTGTTTGATTTTGGGTCTGGTCATGGGGCCTGAACTCTGGGCCTGGGCGCTGTCCCTCAGCTCTTCAGCTCAAGGCTAGCACTCTACCACTTGAGCCACAGCGCCACTTCCAGCTTTTTTTCTGCTTATGTGGTGCTGAGGAATCGAACCCAGGGCCTCAGGCATGCAAGGCAAGCGCTCTACCACTGAGCCACCTTCCCAGCCCAATGCTGAACGTTTTAAATTTCAGCCGCCCTTGAGTCACACACAACCTTCAAGAGCAGGTGCCCTGGGGCCCACGCAGTGCGAGTGTGACAGGCAGACAGACAGGTGGCACTGTGCTCTGTGACCACCGCTTGTGTGGTGGGACCTCCAGCGTGTGGCAGTGGCTACCTGTCCTTGATTATGGCTGGAGCAAGGGGCAGAGGTACCGGGCAGGAGAGAAACACTTGTGGAAGAAAGATAATAAATCCTGAACAGCGGGCATCGGTGCCGGCGTTGGCAGTGGGCACCGGTGCCAGCATGGTGAGATGCTGCACTGAGGAATTCTGACTCCACTCCTGCCCCTGCGTGGCCTCGTCTGACATCTCAGGGGTGTGAGTTTAGCCAGGGTTTAGAGGATCCTGTGGTCAGATGGGCCTGGAACAGCTTATAGATAAAAGCTGTTTCTTTGGCGACTCTGTGGAGCCTTTAACACGCGAGTGTGTGCTGTGGCTCCCTGGGCGAAGGGCTTGCTCTATTTTGTGAGCAGAAGTCACATGCCTGGTGGGGCATGTGCTGGGCCCGGGCACTGGGCGGGGCATGGTGCTGGGCGGGGCATGGCCCAGGGCGTGGGCACTGGCCGACCTGCGCTGCGAGTCTGCGGCGAGCTGTGGGTCTAGCCGTGGGTCGGGGGAGGAGGCCTCCCTCTGATGATGCCAGGCCCTGGTCATTGTGCTGAACACAGGAGGCGTCACCGAGACCTCTGTCCCACCACACGCCTGATGCCCAGTGCTCCTTGGCACCCCAGGGCAATGGTGGACAGCGGTGCCCTGGTCTTATCAAAGGCAAAGTGGGAGCCCAGGGCCTCGGCAGTTTTACCAAATGAGGCATCTGGAGACTGGAAGAGTCAGCATGGCGCAGGGTGGGGCCGCAGTGGGAGGGAGGGGGACTGGGTCTGGCTAGACAATTAGAAAGGAAGCCACGCATGTAGATTCTGCGCAGATATAACTCACACATGTGGGGCTGTGGCTCTGCACCTGGCTGGCCAGCCTGGGCCGGCACAGAGTCTCCAGACAGGACCTGTGCAGTGATGCGTGACCTCCGGTGTCTGCCCATGGGTGACACGTGGCCCTTCCGTCTGTCCTCAGGTGGGTTCGCCGAGTTCTCGCGTTGCTTCCCGGGCCTCTGTGAAGGGAAGGCCACCCTGGTGCCCACCTGCATCTCTCAGCCATGTCTCCCTGTCGCCAACACCGGGCCGACCCGAATCCTTCCCAACCTTTACCTGGGCTGCCAGCTGGACGTCCTCAACAAGGTGAGCAGCAGAGGTCAGAGGTCAGGGGAGAAGCTGGTTAGTGGAAGAAGCAGTCCTGGCTGTCTTGACAGTTTTTGTCACTTGCAGCACTGGCCTCCGAGAGGACTTTGTTTACCCTGCCCTCTTGGCCCAGCACCATGGCTCATGCCTGGCATCCCAGCTACTCAGGAGGCTGAGATTGGAAGATTGTGGTTCAAAGCCAGCCCATGCAGGAAATCCATGAGACTCTTATCACCAATGAGCCACCAGAAAGCCAGAAGTGGCACTGTGGCTCAAGTGGTAGAGCACCAGCCTTGAGCAGAAGAGCTCAAAGACAGCATCCAGGCCACAAGTTCAAGTCGGGAGGTTGGCACACACACAAAAAGATGTGCATGCTGTTGACTGCCCTTAGACTGACGCTGTTTTGGGGGGGGTGCCTGGCTGCAGTCCTGGGGCGTCCACCACTGAATGTGGGCAGAGGTACTGCTACCATTCCACTTCGCGTCAGCAAGCTGCGCCGAGGCTCCTCTGTCCTGTGCCATCTCTTCATTGCTCTGCATTCTCTGTTCCACTTTTCTCCCAAGCAGTGGAGCTCATGGAACTCTATGATGGCCACGTTGATGTGATTTAAAAGCTTTTTTATTTTTCTGGTCCCAGAGCCTGGGACCTAAACTTGAACTCAGGGCCTGGGCATTGTCTCTGAGCTTTTGTGCTCAAGTCTAGCATTCTACCACTTGAGCCACAGCTCCTCCTCTTCCAGCTTTTGGGTGGTTCACTGGGGATAAGAGTCTCACCGCGACTTTTCTATCTGGGCTGACTTTAAATCATGATCCTCTGATCTCAGCCTGAGTAGCTGGGATGACAGGCGTGAGCCACCAGTGCCAGCTTTCAATCATTTTTGTTGTTGTTGTTGGTGGTGGTCATGGTTTAAACTCAGGGCCTGGGCGCTGTCCCTCAGCTCTTCAGCTCAAGGCTGGCACTCTACCACCTGAGCCACAGTGCAACTTCCAGTTTTCTGGTGGTTCATTGGAGATCAGAGTTTCTCCGACTTTCTTGTCCGGGCTGGCTTTGAACTGCGATCCTCAGCCCCCAGCCTCCTGAGTAGCTGGGATGACAGGCGTGAGCCACCGGCACCCCGCTCAAGTGTATTTTTTGAAGCGGGTCTTTTTTCTCATAAAGCAAAACCAAACAGACCATGTTTTAAGTCTCTAAATGCCACTTTGCCTATGTGAGTGAAGTAAGTAACGGTAACCTTGAACTGGCCACGTGGCTGCTGAGGCCTGGCGTGTGACCTCCAGCCCCTGTGACCCCTGCTCTCCCCTGTCCCTGGCAGGAGCTTATGCTGCAACACGGGATTGGCTACGTGCTGAACGCCAGCAACAGCTGCCCGAAGCCAGACTTCATCCCCGAGTCCCACTTCCTGCGCGTGCCTGTGAGCGACAGCTTCGGCGAGCGGATCCTGCCGTGGCTGGACGCATCCGTGGACTTCATTGGTGGGTACCCGGCACGGCACCGCCCTCCACCCCCTGTCATGCAAGGAGCCTGCCCCAGAAATCTGAAACCAGAGACGCCACGGGCCAGTGCACGCGCTCACCCATGGGCGGTCAGACAATGGCCATGGTGCTGGGTGCCTCAGTGGTGTATCCAGTCAATGACACCTCCCCTCCTGCTTTTTCTTGCTCGTGTCTGGTGCTCTACCACCTGAGCCATGCCTCCAGGCCTCCTCTGACCTTTTCAAGTCTTGCAGAATAGTGAATTTCTGAAGCCCCTTCTTGGACCAACCCCAGCAACACCTCTTTAGCGTGTTCTAGACGTGCGACCCTCACCCGTGTCCCGCTGTTTTCGGTGGTTAGGGGGCTGACAAAACCCAACAAAGAGGCAACGCGCGGTCGCCTGGCGGCAAGGGGCACATGGTGTGGTGGCTTTGTCATCAAACTCCAGTCGGTTCAATCTGCAGGACACACAGACGTGTCCTAAGGAAATACAGACTTAACCCAGCACCACCCACAAAATAACCATGTCCAGTGTTACGGTGAGGAGTTGGGACCAGTCCTCCTTGCGATGGCGGCTGGGACATCGGAGATGGAGACTGATTTTAGCTAGCCCCTCTCCCGTGTACTCGGGGCAATACGAGGGGTCCAGTGACACAGGAAACAAAACCCCACATCCTATGGTCAGGAGAGTCCACACTTCCCCCTCCACGTGCGCGTCTGTGTTTCCCATACTTAGCAGGCAGCACATATTCAAACAACAGCCAGGCTGCCCCGGAGAGCCGAGCACTGGCCTTGGCCGCCCAGGGCCTCCACCGCCCTGGTCCGCAGGTGCAATGGTGTCTTCACTCCCAGGACCAGGGGAGGAGGCGCAGCGAGTCTCATGTTTCCTTTGTTGGCTTTGACTGTGCAGAGAAAGCAAAGGCCTGCAACGGCTGCGTGCTGGTGCACTGCCTGGCCGGCATCTCCCGCTCCGCCACCATCGCCATCGCCTACATCATGAAGCGGATGGATATGCCCCTGGACGAGGCCTACAGGTAAGCGCCACCACCCCGGTCCACAGAGAGGGGGGTGCTGGGCATGTGCGTGAGCTGGGCTGCAACATCAGCTCTGGCCAGGGAGAGGGGAGGACAGGTGAGTCAGGTCTGTCTGTCCATCTGGCTTTGAACCATCATCCTCAGATCTTAAGCCTCAGACTTGAGTAGCCACGAGGGCCCCGCACCTCAACTGCACTCCTCACGGAGCCCGGGCATTCGGATTCCCTGGTTACCAGCACAGGACCGTCCCCTGTCCATTGCACTGGAAGCCGTGGGTCAGAGTTGGCAGAGCTGGAATGTCCAGCTGATGCTTGTAGCGGTGTCCTGCCCTTCCCCCCCCCATCCCTCTCCCCTCCCCCCCGTTCACTCACCCAGTCTCCCTAAGATAGAGCCTGGTGGGAGGGCCCACTGCTGTAATCTCAGCATGTGGGAGGCCAGGGCAGGAGGACCAGCTCAGGCTCCACAGCAAGAAAAAAAGAAAAATCCGGGCACCAGTGGGCACGCCTATAATCCTAGCTACTCAGGAGGTTGAGATCTGAGCATCACGGTTCAAAGCCAGCCGGGGCAGGAAAATCCGTGAGACTCTTATCTCCAATAAACCACCAGAAAACTGGAAGTGGTGCTGTGGCTCAAGCAGTAGAGCTCCAACCTTGAGCTGAAGAGCTGAGAGACAGCGCCCAGAGTTCAAGCCCCACAACTGACAAAAATAAAGAAAGAAAGAAAATTAGAATCCTTAGCTGGGAATGTGGCTTAATGGTAGAGTGCTCGCCTAACATGCATGGGTTCGATTCCTTAGTACCACACAGAGACAAAGTCTGCAAGGGAGCTGTGGCTCACATGGTAGAGCGCTAGTCTTGAGCACAGAGACCGTGAGAGCTCAGGAACATTGCCAGGACCTGAGTTCAAGACCCAGGACTGGCAAAAAAGAAAATCCTTAAGATCAGCAGCTGCTGTGGGCTTCAGGCTCCTGGCCTCATCCTCTCTCTGTAGGTTTGTGAAGGAGAAAAGGCCGACCATCTCTCCGAACTTTAACTTCCTGGGCCAGCTGCTGGACTACGAGAAGAAGATCAAGACGCAGCCTGGCGCGGGGCCAAAGGGCAAACTGAAGCTCCTGCACCTGGAGAAGCCGCTGGAGCCCGCGGCGGCCGCCCCAGAGAGTGGACACGGGGCCGAGCCACCCCGCAGCGGCCCCTGGGCCCTCAGTTCTGCCTTGGAGGCCCGGCCGAGGCCTGCGGCCCCCACGGCCACCACGGCCAGCGCACTGGTGGAGGCCGGGCCCCTGGCGCAGGCCCTTGGGGGCCTCCAGCTGGCCCCGGAGCCAGAGGACAGCCAGCGGCTCAAACGCTCCTTCTCGCTGGACATCAAGTCCGTGTCCTGCTCGACAGGCGCGATCGCGCGTGAGGACACAGCGGATGCATACAAGCCGGCTGCCACGCTCGACGGTCCCGCCAAGCACAGCCATTTCTCACCCGTGCGAGAGGTGTCAGAGCAGACGCCAGAGAGCAGCCCCGACGGGGAGCCGCCGCAGCCCCCGCAGGCCCCGGCCAGCCAGGGCCAGCGCCAGCACCCCACGAGGACAGGGGTGCCCCCCCGGCTGCCCTTCACACCGCTGCAGCGGAGCGGCAGCGTGGAGGACACTGGCCGCGCTGGCTTCCTCCTCGGCCTGTCCACCAGCCAGCAGCACCTGGCCAAGTCTGCCGCAGGGCTGGGCCTCAAGGGCTGGCATTCAGACACACTGGCCCCGCAGGCCGCGGCCCCCACGCTGGCCGGCGGCTGGTACTTCGCCACCGAGCCCCCGCACTTCTATGCGGCCTCGGCCATGTATGGCGCCAGGGCCAGCTACTCGGCCTACAGCTGCAGCCAGCTGCCCACGGGCGAGCACGGCGGCTCGGTGCGCAGACGGCCGCGGCCCAGCGAGCGCGGAGACTCGCGGCGCAGCTGGCATGAAGAGAGCCCCTTCGAGAAGCAGCTGAAGCGCAGGAGCTGCCAGATGGAGTTCGGGGAGGGCCTGGTGGCCGACAGCCGCTCGCGGGAGGAGCTGGGCACAGTGGGCAGCCAGTCCAGCTTCTCGGGCAGCATGGAGGTCATCGAAGTGTCCTGAGGGTCTCCGCCGGCTCCCCAATGCGTTCCCTGCACAGCCGAAGTCTGCACAGCCATGGCTGTTTCTGGAAGGTGGAGCCATGGTAGGAGAGGCCGGTGGGGCCAGGGCAGAAGCCGGAGCCCACACCCCTGCAGAAGCAGCCCACCGACCCCACGCCCTGCCCACGGAGACTACCTTCAGTCATGGCCCGGCTCCTCCGGCGGAGGCCGAGCCAGCCCCGGAGCCAGTGAAGGCAGAAGCCAGGGGTGAGTCCATGAGAGACCATCCTGTCCCAGGCTGGCCTCCCCAGATCTAAGCCAGTACCACCTCATGCCACGGCCCCACCGATGGCACAGAATCCCCGCCGCCCATGGCCTGTCCTCCATCCCCCAGGCCTCTGCACCGAGGCTGGGACAGGTTGGAGGCCTGGCGTGGACGTGGAGCACAGGTTGCAGGGCCTCTCGACTCAGCTGAGCATCTTCCACTTGATCCGTGGTGCAAATGTATCAAGGCGGAATCTTCTAGGAAATGACTTAGTGAGAAAAAGCCGGGGAGATGGAGGCAGCGTCAGATGCCCAGCCGGGCACCGAGGCTCCTCCGCACCAGCTCCTGGGTTGGTCTGAAAAGCGGTGGGCTCTGACTTAGGACCTGGTGGTGGGGCCTCTGTGCTCAAGAATGATGCTGAGTGGGGTAAAGTGAGGCAGAGGAGACCCGGTCGCGCCCTGCGGAGCTGTGTCTGGAGTGGGTCAGACACATCGGGAAGGCTGCATCCTCCCCCTTGGTACCACACGTGGCCTTCGCCAGCCCCAGGCAAACCCTGCCGCGTCACCTGCCGCTCCTGGGCATGGTCCTTGTGGGGCCACCCATGACCACAGCGGAGCGTGGGTGGGACGTGTGGGAGCTGCGCTGTGCGTTTCTCATGTGATGTCTTGTCTGTTAATATGAAATAAAGTCAGAACTGTGCCTGTGTACACGCAGGTGCGGGCGTGTCTGCGGGTATGGGACCCCGTTCTCGTCCCTCATCCCCAGCCTTCGTCCCATGGGCCTGGCCCTCAGCCTTCAGGCCCTGGTGTCAGATGTGAGGCCAGTGATGACATGGTCACATGATGTGGGCTGACCCCGTGCAGGCCCAAGACCCTGAGTTCAACCCTGGCACCTGCCTCCCATCCCCGCCCCAAAATCTGTTCTCCCCATTTCCATACACACCTCTGCAATATATTTACATGAACAGGAGGTTAGTGCAAAGCATGTGTGAGCCGCACGCCAGTGCTCACGCCTGTCATCCTAGCTACAGGAGGCTGAGGGCTGAGAATCGCAGTTCATTGCCAGCCCGGGCAGGAAAGTCCTTGAGACTCTGATCTCCAGTGAACCACCAGAAAACTGGAAGTGGAGAGGTGTGGCTCCAGTGGTAGAATGATAGCTTTGAACAAAAAGACCTCAGGTCTTGAGTTCAAGTCCCATGACTGACGGAAAGAATGGGCCTCAGTTGCTGATGGAAAGTGATTTGGAGTTGGTAAACACCAGGCCTCATGGCAGCACTCAGAGGGTCCCCAGGACAGGAATGGCCATGGCGCCCTCCCACAGCACTGCACACCAGAGCCCTGGCTGCTCCCAGTGGCCATTAGATTCGGTGTCTCCCAGTACTGATGTTCACACCTAGAGCTCCTTGTTAGCAAGCAACATGAATAAAAAGTTACCTGGGCGGAGTGCCAGGGAGTGATACCTGTCTGTCACTCCAGCTACTCAGGAGGCTGAGGACTGAGAGTTGAGGTTCAAAGCCAGCCTGGGCAGGAAAGTCCAAGAGATTATTATCTCCCATGAACCACCAGAAAAGTGGAAGTGGCACTGTGGTTCAAGGGGTAGTGCACCAGCCTTGAGCTGAAGAGCTCAGGGACAGCATCCAGGCCCCATCACCGACAAAAATTACAATGCCACATGCCAGTCCTGAGGTTGAACCCAGGCTGGGTGCTGTCCTGAGCTGTTCTCGAGGCTGGCGCTCTACTACTTGAGCCACAGCTCGTGGCAGATAAAGAGTCTCATAGATCTTTTTGGCTTCGAATTGTGATCCTCAGATCTCAGCCTCCCAAGTAGCTAGGATGACAGGCCTGAGCCACTGGTGCCCGGCTCAATGATCTCCTCTGCAGGTAATTCTGGGAAGAGCCCAGGCTTCCAGGGGAACCTGTGTTCTGAGGCAGGGGCTTTGTGTACGTGGCTCCTGGAAGGTGAGGCACCCACACGTCAGAGCGGGCTGTTTCTGGGTGAGATCGCTCCTTTTATTGACTTGTTTTAGAATAAAAGACTTTCTACAAACACCCCACATGGGAGGTGGAGACAGCGTAGCTAGGCTGGACGAGGCATGGCAGCGGGGCTGAATGAGGTGTGGCTAGGTCCCATTTGAGGAGCATCTGGAGGCTGCTTCGAAGCCTGGTGTGCTGCCCGGGCGGTGCCCTGGGCCCAGCCTTTGTCTCCATCGCCAGCTGCGCAGGTCCCCATTCGGGCCTCACAGAGAGAGAGGCGCCCCGTGGTTGCGGTATTCATGGGACAGGCTCCACGCTGGGGGCAAAGTGCAATGAGTGCACAGACCCAGTGAAGGGGGAACTGGCCACTCCCAGCCCAAGTTGGAGCCCGGGGCGCCCTTCCCAGGGCTGGGCTCACAGGGCACCCCCCAGCTTTCTCACGCCTCCTCCTTCCACATGTCCATTTTTGTCCCTACACGGTGAACGTTTGGTTTGCTTTAAACGTGAAATGAAAACAACACTGTGGGGTTCTTTGAGGAATTCCTAACAATCCCAATGTCCCAACCCCAGCCACGCTGAGGGGCCCCACTTTGGCATGGCGCCGTCCACGAGGGCGGGGGAGGGGAGGCTGCCTTGGTGGCCAAGACCCAGCTGCTCTCCCCCCACCTCTGCCCCAGTGCCCCTGCCGGCCTCCACCTGGCCAGGCAGAGGAAGGGGAGAGGCCGGAGGGGCTGCTCTAGAGGCGCTCGGGCTTCATGCTGAAGGGCTCCAGCCGCTCGCTCTCGGGCAGTAGGCTGTTGAGCCGCTCCATGAGCGGCAGGGTCTGGTCGATGCCCAGCTGCACGCGCCGCAGGATGGCCGACATCTCCTGCACCTTCTGAATCTGCTCGGCGTACCTGGCAAAGCGCTTCTGCCGCTCCTGCATGGAGCCGAACAGGGCGCCCACCGACAGGTCCATCTGCAGGCGGAGGCAACAGAGAAGCGGCGGGCGTGAGCCTCGGCCACTGCCACCGCCCCCACAGGGAGCTGCGGGGCTATGCCGGGGCCACGCGTGGCTCCACTCTGCTCCTGTGAGCTGACAACACCGTGGGGACCCCAACTCCCCTCCCCAAACCACAGCCAAGGCCACGTCACGACCTGCCAGTCAGTGACCGGCCAGCTCACACTCGGGACAGACACAAGTCAGCTCACACTCGGGGGCCACACACCGGCCAGCTCACAATCGGAGACAGGCGACTGGCCAGCTCACACTTGGGGGACAGACACCAGCTAGGTCACACTTGGGGGACAGACACCAGCCGAGTCACACTCGGGGGACAGGCGACTGGCCAGCCCAACCATACTGAACACACAGCGCTTCCGGCAGGGAGGGGGGCTGTGGCAGGGAGGGCTCTGGGTGGCTCACACAGCTGAGGAAACCCCCAGGAATCCATGTTTCAGGTGGAGATTTTGTAAAGTACAGAAAAATGGGGGCCGCCAGCACCACAGGCCACCTCGCCACTCCAAAGCAACCACAGCTGCCCCGTCCCTTCCCGCAGCCCAGCTGCCCAGATGTGGCCACCAGCCCGGCCTCTGCCAGCACCTCTCGGGGCGGCTGCAAACCTGGGCAGGGCAGGATGGGGCGGGGCGGGGCAGGGCGGGGTGATGCGGGGCTCCAGCGCCTGCGACCAGCTAATGGGATCTCACTGAAGCGGGAAATGGTGCTGCTCACACCTGCTCACTTGTCAGTGCAGGACCTGGATAGGGTTAAATCACATTTAAATGCTGGGCTTTGCTCTTTGCCAAAGAATACAGCCTGTGTCTCCACAGGCAGGGGGTCATCGGGGCTGGCCTCACCAGGATCCCTGGGCCTGGGCAGGGGCCTGGGCAGCACTGAGGTGAAGGAAGTGTGGGCCAGGCCCAGGGAAAGCAGTTTACCTCCTCAGAGGCAGGCCAGAACGAGCCCACTGCCACCATGTGTCCTGCTGCTGCCACGGACCACAACAGCCACATTTCCTGCCACCCAGGGGCCACAATGAGCCACGTTTCCTGCTGCCATGGACCACAATCTTGCTGCGTTTCCTGACACCACAGACAATCACATTTCCTGCCACCACCCATTTTGCCACATTTCCTGGCGCCATGGGACCAGCTGGATTTCTCACCACAGACCAGGGGGAAGTTAGTTATGACACTGCAGGCTCTCAGCCTGATATACAGAGACAGAAAGGGAGCTCCACGTTTTCTAGAAACACCTAGAAACATCCAGCAATGTGCTATCCGGGTCTCTTGTTTTAGAGTAACCTGTCCAACTCACTTCATCATTTCAGGGCGAGGAAAGAGGAACGGACGTCAAATGTGCTCTAAGGTTAACAAGAATCTGCCAACACTGTTACTTAGATTCACGTGATGTGGCAGCGCTTCCTGGCGAAGGGCCCCAGGGGCATGGCCAGCTCTCCCCCGCTGCCCAGTGGGGGGGGGGGCTGGTGGCCCCAGGCCTTACCTCCTTGATCCGCTTGACCAGGGCGTTCTGGTCGAAGGCCACGGCTTCGGCGCACTGGTGCAGGTGGTCCTGGTACCGCAGGCACAGCTGCAGCACCTGCTGCGCGTCCAGCTTCTCCAGACGGGCGTTGCTCGGTGAGGTCTGGCCGCTCAGGAGCCCTGCCGGGATGGGGGTGGTGGGGGGAAATGTCACGGGACGGGGGGGCAGTGGGGTGGAGGTCACAGGTCCAGGGTGGTGGGCAGAGGTCATGGGACAGTGGGGCAGAGGTTACTGCTCACAGCCATGCTCGGACCAGCCAGGCTGGGCTGAGCTGCATGCACCATACCCCGCACACACTCACAGCCCCCACCTTCGGGACACTGCTCACAACCTCCACAGACACCATCCGTTCACCTCGCCGCCTTGGGAATGGGGGTTACTGGGCTCTCGGACACTGGCCCAGCCAGTTTGGGCCATGTGGATGGTCATGGAACACGGCAGTGGAGATGAAAGGCCATGACAGCCGAAGGTGACAAGACCCAGTGCCCCCAGGGCCCACCAATGGAGTGCCGTGTCTCCTGGCTCCTTCACTGCCGGCCCGCCCACCCGCCCTTCCCCTTCTTCGTCAGCTTGAGACTCACAGGCCCGAGCTGAGACCCGGATCATGCAGCCGGGAAGAACACGTGCCCTGGCACTGGGGAACTTGGGGTCTGAGCCGGAGACGCTGCCCCGAGCTCCAGGCTCTTGCTTGTAAGTACTGTAAGCATTCAGGAGAATCGTGAGGTACAGGTCACGACATGATGTCCACAGAAGCGTGGCTGCCATGGTCGTGGACAACAAGTATAGCATGCGTGCTCTGGACCTGCCCTTCACGCCCAGCTGCAAGGAGATGGGTATCAGAGACCTTGCAGCTACAGGGGCCGCTCACCAGGTGGAGGGGTGAAGGTGAGGGGGGTGCCCGAGGTGGTGGTGGGGGAGTGGCAGGGACTGTTCAGTGGTGAAACAATCAGAAACAACCCAAGCTGGACGCCAGTGGCTCACACCTGTCATCCCAGCTATTTGGGAGGCTGAGATCTGAGGATTGAGGTTTGAAGCCAGCCTGGACAGGAAAAGTAGAGCTGTGGCTCAAATGGTAGAGTGTTAGACTTGAGCAAAAGACCTCAAGGACAGCACCCAAGCCTTGAGTTCAAGTCCCACAACCAACAACAACAACAAAAAAAGGTCAGTAACATGTTTCCTGTGGCTTCTGCCGTAACACCCGAGTGTGGCAAGCTGCGTATGCTTTTCCCACGAGCCTGCGCTGAGCTGAGCTGTGACCTGGTTGCCAGGAAATCAGGACACTGCAGAGCCAGTGTTACTGCCCAAAGGCCTTTGAAACATTACCCAGAGGCGCCACGGATCCACTTGCCAGGCGCTTTGTCTGTTGCCACCTAGTGGCAGAAGGGTCTAAGCACAGAGGCTGAAGGTCTGGGCACAGAGGACACAGAAAGTCCCCACTTGACCTTGGAGGAGAGAACGATCTTGGGAAAGAATGAGGTCGTGGGAAAGGGAGAGAGAGCTCTTGGCAAGCTCTTGGTCCAGCCCGACTCTCCTCACTTACTGTTTGTATAGTGTGTGTGTGTGTATGTGTGTGCAGGTGCGGGTGTCAGAGCCTGAGCTCTTCTGCTTAAGGCCGGTGGTCTACCCCGTGAGCCACAGCACCACTTCTGGCATTGGACTACGATCCTCAGATCTCAGCCTCCTAGGGCAGCTGGAATTACAGGTGTGAGCTACAGCGCCTGGCTCTCTCATGGCTGTTTATGGTACTTTTTTGGTCTTTCAAGTCAGTCAAGGCCTTGTGCTCGTTTCCCTGCCTGGGTGGGGGTGGGGGTGCCAGGTTGCCAAACCCTTCTTAGGGGAGATCAGGCCCGGAGCAATGGGGCGCAGGCTTAGCAAGTATGGGCACAAAGTGGTCCACCAACTCACGGCCGAGAAAACTAGGCTGCAATCATAAACAGGGCAAGGGGGCACGGCGGCGGGAGACAAGCAAATGGGGCCGGTGGCTGACCCCCCACAGGCTGGCCCCGGACGGAGCCCAGCCCTCACCTTTCAGAAGGGGCTGGAAAGCTGGGATCTCTTGCAGCTTGATGACGTCCGGATCGTTGCTGACGTTCCGCGAGGCCTGCGAGCCCTGAGCCACCACCACGATGTCGCCCATCTTGGCTCGGTGCTTGGCAGGAGGGGTTGCTAGAAAGAGTCAGACGGCTCCAGAAAGCTGGCCGGCTGCCCTGAGCCCCAGCCCAGCAAAGAGGCTTCCCACACCATCAGCAAGCCCACTTTTACATAACACAGCATGTGCACTTAGGACAAGACAAGGGAGTAAGCAAGGAGGCCCGCACAGACACATGCATCCAAGAGACCGGAAGTGGACCTGCCTTGGTAGCAGTCCCAGATGCCTGCAATGTGCCTCAGCCTACACTGCTAATTACTACACTGACTGATTACTACACTACTGATTGATTACTACACCAGTTCATTACTGCTGCCTGTCCTGGGGCCCACCTGTGGCTGGGCCCAGGCCATCTTAAGGGAGCCTGGCGGACTGTGCTGGGGCCGCAGTTTTGTGGCCTGTGGTGATCTCCAGTGCTTTCCTGATTCTCTTTCTGCACTGTTATCTCAGGCAGAACACAGCCAAATGTCACATCCTCACATCCCTACCTGTAAAATTAGGGACCACTAAGTCAGGAGGATCTGGGATCAAAGGAGAAATTTAAAACACTATCTGTCTGGATATTCCATGCTGAATTATAAAATGTTCCAATGTGTTTGGGATGCCTTAGATCTGTTGTCGATGGTAACCATGGTCCCCATCCTGTCACCCCGTCCAGCATGCACACTAAGTTTGGTTCTGATGGCTGTGGAAGAGCAGCAGCCGGCTTCCCCCTTCCCCCTCCCAGCGTGGCTTTATGACTTGGTCACTTGGCTGGATGAAAGAAACTCAAGCTAGGGCTGGGAAGGTGGCTCAGTGGTAGAGCGCTTGCCTTGCATGCCTGAGGCCCTGGGTTCGATTCCTCAGCACCACATAAGCAAAAAGAAAAAAGCCG